GGAGCTGAAACTAGATAGAATCCTTTTACAACAGCAGTTTCCAGCAGTGTACAGTGGTCTTGTGCAGGTGGGCTACTTAGCAGTCATAGTACAAACTGGCCTGCCTGGCCTCAATCTTCTGTCTTACAGACACCTGCTATAAAGGAGTTATATGTACGTTCACAATAAAGTGTTTTTCAGTAGTTTATTAATTTACAAGTTGTGCTCATCCGGAAACTGCCTAACCACCTTAGGTGGTCACCCCAAGGCTATGATATAGTAAGTGCAAGAGAGGTTCACTGCCAGACCCAAAAATATTTGGTATCCACATGGGCCCAGCAGAGGGAACTCAAATATCTATCTGCTGCTGTGATGCAATCTGTCACTGGTCCTGCCTGGTCTGAGGCAGGAGAAAATCAGAACAGCTAACATGCAGAATTAACAGGTAGTATGGCTGATGGTAACTCATAAACCATTTAAGAATTACAAAGTTGTTTGTGCTGACAATCGTGGAGGACCTGAGACCTTATACTTGTGAATGGACTGTGTCATATGGAGCAACTATAACCTAGTCAGAGACATTCCTAGAAAAAGTGAGTGCTGGTGGTATTCAAAGTCTAGAAACTTAACATGTAATATAGCTACTCGTATCACGTTGAAGTGACTTCAGCTTTTACTTCATAATATATGCCCCAAGGATTGGGCCCCAACACGTGGTGTCGTATAGCACTTTATTTGCCATATGTAATCAAGCAGCAGAATTGGTGGAGTGAAAGAGAAACAAAAAGGTCATACAACATTAAAACAGCCAATACTGGGGCTATCGGGTAAAACTACTTGGACTGTGTTGAAGCTTTTGAAGAAATGTTAATCATATGATTGGCACAGCTGCCTGACTTACACGTCAGACACGCAACCTTACAATACTCCATTGGCAGTGCCCGAACCCCAAACAGGCTCAGGGTCTTGTGGAAAAGGAGAGTGCATAAGATTCTGAAAGCCAGATAGGAGGATACTGTGCACGGGCCAGCTTGTTCTGACCCCAGCCAACTCCAGTCTTACTGGCCATGATTACCCTGTGATTACCCCGGATTGCTGACTGATTTTTCCCATGTCTTTTCATAGCACACAATAGTCAAAGTCATTTGAGTGTTATGGAAATGTATGGTCTTGACCTTTGTACCAAGAATATATCTGATTGTTGGATTAGCTTAGGATAAGTCAAGTGCCTTCTGGCTCTGGTGGAGTCACTTTTCTGGTTAGAAAGAGCCTGTCTTTTTCTGACTTCAATGGTGAGGCTCTACTATGAAGGAAGCCACACTTCATGGAGGAGGAGTTGTTGATAATTTTTTCTTAATGTTCAGCAATTCTGTATATTAAGACCCCAATTAAGATTGCACTCTCTGCAATCCTGAATATCTTCCTTTTTTTTTAAAACTAGTTAACATATATTAGGACCAAATTATTCTGGAACAAACTGTCATGGAAGCATAAATTATAGCAGAGATATAGTAGAAGAGCTCAATTTTTAGAACTGAATCCCAAATTTCTGTCATTTTTCAATGCACGGATGTACTGAAATACATATTGAGTAGCAACAAAATTCTTCCTTCTGATTCCTGTGAGGATAAGAGCCACAGAGACATCATTACAAAATGACTAATGTCCTAGTTTCTTGTCTGTTGCTGGGATAAAACACTGACCAAAATCAACCTGGAGAGTTCCAGATTGGAGTTTATTGTCAGGGGAAGCCTGGCCAGGAGCTCAAGTGGCAACCTAGATGCAGGAACTGAAGCAGAGACAGACCATGGAGGATGTTGCCTACTTGATCACTTTCAGGCTCATGTTCAGCTACCTTTCTTATTCAGCCCAGGCAACCTGCCTAGGGATTGTACCACTCACAGTGGATTTGGCTCTCTCTCATCAATCAGCAGTCAAGACAATGCCTCATAGACATGGCCACAGGACAGTTTGGTGAAGGCATATCTTCAGTTATGATTCCCTCTTACGTGTATCAAGTTGACAACCAAGGTTGACCCTCACAAATGATCTGGTAACAAAAGTTTAATCAAAATGGAATATAACTAAGCCATTGTATGAATCTTTAGACATAATCCCCAAGTAGAAAAGAAACAGACTGCAGAATTGATGAACAGGAACATTTCTTGGGTGTGTGAAAAAGTATGACATTTGGAAAAGATACAGAGTTTTAAAGAAACAAAGCCGCCCAACTAAAATGACTCTTACTGTTCAACTGTTCCCTGCTCCAAAGCAAGCAAAGTGATAGAAGGATTTATGTATAGGGTTGACTGTTGTGGTCCACACAGGAATGTAAGAGTTGATAATAAGAATGACTATTTCTTGTATATATTCTTGTATGCTATTTCTTGGAGGTAGGGTGTGTGTACACATGTACAGGCCAACAGTCAACCTGGAATGCCAATTCCTCAGATGTCCTCTCCCTGACAGGCCTCTCTGTAGCTTGGAGCTTGCCCAGAAGGCCAGCTTTTTATGTGGGTTTACACCCTCACACTCATCTTTTTATGTGGGTTCTGGAGCTCAAACTCAGGCCTCCTACTCACACAGGAAAGCACTTTAGTGACTGAGTGATTTCCCAAGCTCAACCATTTCTAAAGTAAGCCTCAGGCCTCTTTCTATTTCCAGAGGGATGACTATTGATTAAATTTAGCAATACATGCTTAGTAGCAAAAATTTCCTTTAGAGCTAATGATGTTTGAGTCCTTTTGTTCTGCAGCAATATGCGTTGTAGCGTATTGTGTGGGAAATGCAGCCAGTTTTTCCTTAAATGTCTCACGGCCTCAGAAGGTAAACATAACACAAATGATCCGCCAATTTAACTGAACTATAAAATAAACATTGCTAATTTTAACTTGGAATTGTCTATAATTGCCTTTCATTTTTCAATGATGCTTATTGCACAGCAGTATGTTTTATATAACTTTAATTTACTTTAAATTTAACTTGTTTTCAATATAGGACATTATGATGTGGCACTTCTTTATTATGGATTTGTAAATATTTAAAGAGTTGCTATTTCATAGCTGCTCATATAAGAAATAGTACAATGGGCTCCATTTTGGGGTTCAGATTATTATCAGTTAGGGGATACTTGCAAAGCATCTGTATATGTATTCAGCTCTGACTATTCATTCCCCTTTAGACTACATTCATTGTTCCCTTCTTCTTGTCCTGTTTTCAGTTCATTATTGGGCTTGGAACTCAGATCTACACACACTAGGCTAGTGCTCTAGCACTGAGCTATGTCCCCAGACCTAATAATAATAATAATAATAATAATAATAATTATTATTATTATTATTATTATTATTATCATTATTATTATTATTATTTTTGAGACAGGGTTTCACTCCGTAGCCCAGGCTGGTCTCGAACTCACAAAGATCCACCTGGCTCTGCCTCACGAGTGCTGGGATTAAAGGCATGCATCACCACCACCTGGCCCCAGACCTCATAATTATTAATCATTAGTCAGTCATGTCCTCATGTCCCATCAGTGTTCTGCTCCTACAGCTTGCCATGACAGAGAAGGTTAGTTCAGACGGGTCTCGGAAGCTATTTAAAATGTATTCTGAAGGGAGAGGATATTGTATTCTACCTTACAAGTATCCAGAAATACAGCATCATCAGAACCAAACAGTGACAGTCTGTCCTCTCCCTTTGCTACTCTTTTTTTTCTTTCTTTTTTTTTTTTTTTTGTGTGTGTGCCTGACTCTGATACTTCTTGAAACCAGCAAAAGTTAAGGTAGACAAAAATTTAAAGACCTAATTTAAGAGGAATAGAGTCTCAAAACAACATTCTTAATGAGGCTCTCAAATATTTAGGTCATACCATTCTATTTTTTAAGAGACCCGCTTCTAGATAGGTAAGTGTATGACCCACTTCCGAATGTAGATGTAAAATGGAAATAGTTTTAAACTTTCTCTGCTTGCTCAAGTAATTGTTAAGTAAAAAGAAGATAAACTTTTAAACTTTGCTGAGCAGTTTTTTAAGAGAGGTAGCTTTTCAAATCATTCTCTAAAGTCAATGTTGCTACCAATTATTCACTTATCACAGGTGTTTGTTGGTCTATGGCAGTTATGTAGAAGCTGTATAGTGCAGACAATAACCAAGGCCCAAGTCTCTTGGACCTTACAGCTGAGTCATGAGTTGCTGTTCAGTTATTCCAGTAAGAAACCATCCCAAGACCTTGATGTTTAAAATAGGTACTTGTCTCTCATGGATCTACAGCAGGAACTCAACCAAGTGATTTTCCTTTGAGATCTCAGGTGTATTTGAAGCTTGGATGGTGTCATCTGAAGGCTTATCTGGCCTAGACATCTAAGAGAATCCACTGTCATGGCAAGAATCAATTGTTTGTCAGCTGGGGTTCATCTAAGGTGATGAATCAGCTTCTATACACAGCATATGCCTGTGGCATGGGCTTCCCAAAGCCCAGTGGTTAGCAGGGTTTCAAAAGCAAATGTAAGATAGAGTGCAAGTGTAAGGTTCTTTGGGAACCTTATGTCATTCAATTTATGTCATTTTGATGATGTTAACTTTGATAGCAAGGTTAAGGTGGCACCTGCTAGATGTTCACTATGAACCTACAATTTCCCACTGCTGTTTGGTTTTTACTCTTTTACTCTTTTGGAGGGCCTGCCACCCAGCTCCCAAATAAATTACACATGGATGCTTATTCTTAATTATAAATGCCTAGCCTTAGCTTGCCTTATTTCTAGCCATCTTTCCTTGACTTTAAATTATCCTGTCTATCCTTTACCTCTGGGCTTTTTCCCTTTCTTACTTTTGTAACTTTACTTTCACTCTTACTAAAAGCATATCAATTTAATTAGTTCACTGAAGAATTTGGATTTTCCCCAAGTATCTTTGCAGGACATAGCTGTGACTGATATGACTTTGCTCATGTTGGTGGTTTTCTTGAGCCAGATAAACTGAGAACGTGACTTTTAATGTTTGTAGAGAAGGTGTGACCCCAGTGCAGTGTGAGATTCATATTTTATTAGATTGCTACTGTCTTTTTACACCTAGTGTTTAGATTTATATGCATTGGAATTCTTTGGTTATGTGACTGCCATAAAAGAGCCCATTGGGTTGGCTTACTCCAGCTCCTTAACAGTATGCTACAGACCAGGTGGTTTACACAGCAGAACTGTATTTTCACATAGATCTTAAGAATGGAGTCCAAGTTCAAGCAAGGTTGATTTCTTCTGAGAATGCTCTTCTTGGCTTGTAGATTGTAGTAGTAGTTTCGTGTCAGCTGCCAGCCCTCAAATAATGACACAGAGGTTTATTATTAATTATAAACACTCAACCTATATCTTAGGCTTGTCTCAATTAGCTCTAATAACTCAAATTAATCCATTCATATCAATTTATGTCCTATCACATGACATTACTTCTCTTCCATCTTGTACCTCCTGTTTCCTCTCCATGTCCCCTGTGTGCATCAATTTATTTCCTGCTTCCTCTCTCACTGCCCGGAAGTCCCACCTTTCCCTCCTGCCAAGCTATTGGTCATTCAGCTTTTGTTAGAGCAATCACAGCAATACATCTTCACACAGTGTGCAAACATCCCACATGAGTAGATGACCGTCTTCTCCCTGGGTCTTCACATGAGCTTTCTGCTGTGCCCAATTGTATCCTAATGCTCTATTTTCACAAGGACACCAGTCATTTGATTGGAGTTCACCCAGTGACTTCAAGTAACCAATTACTTGAACAATTAATTAATTTGTGAACTCTCTATGGTCCTCTGGCTTTTGTAATCTTTCTGTCCTCTCTTCCACAATGTTCCCTGAGCCATAGGTGCAGAAGTGTTATGTAGATGTATCCATTGGGACTGGGCACATGCACATCAATAAAAATAAACATTTTTAAAAAAGTGATCACTAAGAGAACATTTACTAAGCCAAGAGTAGTGACATACATGTGTACTTCAGCTAGAGAGGCCCAGGCTAGGCTGGAACCACATGGTGAGACTTTCTCAAAAAGTCAAATAAAAACAAAGTATAAAGGGCAGAAAGATGGCTTAGTAGTTAAAAACTCTTGCTGCCAAGACTGAACCTAGATTCACCCTCCAGAACCAAAGAATCAATTTCTACAAATTGTCCTCTGGCCATATATTTGTGCTATGGGATGAACGCATATGCACACAAAATCCACAAATATTAAAAATTAAAACCAAACCCCATAAAACATAAAAAGTTTACTTAACAAACTATTGAGACATGTACCCAGAATGCACTTAACTTGTTCTAGAAAAAAAATTCTTTCAAAAATTCAAACTATTTCAAAGAGGTTGAAAGTGACTATGATAGCCCCAAGTGCATGAATACCTCTTCTTGCATGTTGGGAGACATTTTCCAGGGAGAATTCTCAAACAGATGTTTCATCCCATGGTGACTCTAGAAGGGACAAAACTATACTTCTTTAAGATTATTGCACACCTCTGACTTGTCATTGGTTCATTTTTTCTGTTGGCTACCTTGAGCTTGAAGACTTTATCTCCAATGAAGGTAAATCTTTATGAAGTGAATAATCTGTGGGAAACCTAAATGAAAAGCCTTGTGTTGTATTTATAGTATTTCTAGAATACTATAAACTCATGAGCCATAGAATTCATGAAAGATAGACCATGGATAATGATACTGTCATTATGGCTTGTATATGGTGTAACATGAATCTTAAAAGGTCTTATTAATAAAAAACTCAAGCCGGGCGGTGGTGGTGCACGCCTTTAATCCCAGCACTCGGGAGGCAGAGCCAGGCGGATCTCTGTGAGTTCGAGGCCAGCCTGGGCTACCAAGTGAGTTCCAGGAAAGGCGCAAAGCTACACAGAGAAACCCTGTCTCAAAAAACCAAAAAAAAAAAAAAAAACAACAACAACTCAGTAACAGTTATTGGGGTGAATGCTGGAAGATCAGAGGAGCAGAACAAGCCACAGCTAACCTCACCTTGTCAGCTTCTCAGCAGATCCTCTTTCTTCAAACTGGAAGCCTCTGTGTCCTCATCCAGAATGGATCTCAGCTGAACTGCTGCTAAAAGCCTAAAAGCTTAAAAAGACTTTAGTTCCTGGTCCTCATGCCTTATATACCTTTGTGCTTCCTGCCATCACTTCCTGGGATTAAAGGCATGTGTCTTTCCCAAGCAAGACATGAGATCTCAAGTCTTGGGATTAAAGGTGTGTGTCACCATGCCTGGCTTCTATGTCTATCTAGTGGCTGTCTATTCTCTGACCCCAGATAAGTTTATTAGGGTGCACAATATATTGGACGACACAATATCACCACAATATGGTGCTTGTTTTTTTTTTTTTTTTTTTTTTTGGCCTGGCATAATGCCAAGTACTTTCCTGATTTTATCCTTTGTATTAGTCTATGTTGTAGTTCATTTCTATTACCACTAGTTTACAGACAAGAAAACTGAACATATTGGGTGGTTAAGAAACTTCTCTACTCAAGTCATGTTGAAAGTCATAGGGGAAAAGCTATCCCAGACATGGTTCCTCTGTAGAGGCTTCATCTGAACTCCAGTGGTGGTGTCTGCCCCTCACCACTGCACCTGCATTCTAAACTCCTAGCAAACAAGAATCTTCTTTGAGGCTAAAAGCCAATAAAACTGATATAAAGAACTGCTTCCCATCATGAAATCTTCAACAGATATCATATCTAAAAGTGAATCTTACAGGGAAAATGGCCATTGGACTGGTCAGAAAAGAAGAGAAAAGAATTTGTCGTGGAAGAATAACATACACAGAAAAGGACAGGTTACAGACTGCAACCCACAGCTCCAGGGAGGCTAGCTAGCAGGGAGGACCCTAGGAAGGATGCATGGATCACCCATTGAAAGAGAAATAGATGAGATCTACATGAGCAAACTGGGGGTGAGGGGAGTAATGGAGGGCAACGGATGGGGTATGAGAACATAGGGGAACGGAAGGTTCGAGCTAGAACGAACAGGGACAGAGTGGGAGAGCAAGGAAAGAGATACCATGATAAATGAAGATATCATGGGAATAGGGAGAAACAGAGTACTAGAGAAGTTCCCAGGAATCCACAAGGATGACCCCACCTTAGACTACTGGCAGTATTCGAGAGGTTGCCTGAACTGGCCTACTCTGGAGATCAGATGGCTGAATAACTTAACTGTCATCATAGAACCCTCATCCGGTGACTGATGGAAGAAGATGCAGAGATCCATGGCCGGGGTCAGGCCGAGTTCCAGGAGTCTAATCAATGAGAGAAAGGCGGGATTCTATGAGCAAGGGACATTGAGATCATGATGGAAAAATGTACAGAGATGACCAGCCAAACTAGTAGAAACTCATGAACTGGGGACCAATAGCTGAGGAGCCCCCAGGGTACTGGACTAGGCCCTCTGGATAGGCGAGACAGTTGTTTAGTGTAAGCTGTTAAGGGGGCCACCAGGCAGTGGGATCGGGACCCATCCCTGGTGCATGAGCCAGCTTTTTGGAACCTAGTGCCTATGATGGGACACTTTGGGCAGGCTTGGTGCAGGGAGGGGGCGCCTGGACCTGCCTCAACTGAATGTACCAGGTTCTGCTGACATTCCATGGGAGACCTTTCCTTGGAGGAGGTGGGAATGGGGGGAGGGGGTGGTTGGGGGAAAGGCTGGAGGGCAGGAGGAGGGAGAGGAATGGAATCTGTGGTCGGTATGTAAAATGAATAGAAAATCTCTAATAATAATAATAATAATAATAATAATAATAATAATAATAATAATAAAGAAAGGGACAGGTTACAAGGTTTAGAAGTAAGGTAGAGAATGTGGAAGTCACAGTTTTACCCTGTCATTTCATCCCACATCCCTGTTTCCTGCCAAGGACTATGCTTTTGGGTTCTTTTACAGGCTCGATGGACCTGGACCAATCCTTCTGGAATATGTCTATCTAGAGTCTCCATAGTTCCTTTTTGCCTCATTTTTAATGAGTCAGTGCTGACCTTTGAGGTGTGTTTTCATGGCTTTCTGTGTGGTATCCTTGGTGATCAGTTGTTGACACAGGCTTCCGAATGTTGAGTAATTAGACATTTATGTCTCAGGCATTCCCTGCTCAGAGAAGGAAAGTCCACTCCTTAAACTGAGACACCTAAGGAGAGACATCAGAAGCTCTCCCATCTCGTCACATATCTTATTGTGTTTATTATGGCATTTTGGTTGCTATGGTGACAGGAAGGAGAGCCTGTAGGGAAGGGTGGTGAAAGACTTTGCTCTGAGGGGAGGCCAATAAAGGCCCTGAATATTACCAAGGATCACTCTCAGGAAATGACCTTGGCTATCATGTCATTATTCCCAGCACTCAGGAAGCAGAGGCAGGTGGATTTCTGTGAGTTTAAAAGCAATCTGGTCTACATAGTGAGTTTGAGGACAGTGAAGGCTATAAACTGAGACGTTATGTCAGAAAAAAAAGAAGAAAAGGAGAGAGAGAGAGAGACAGACAGACAGAGACAGAGAGA